TAATTCTTTTAAATAAGAACAAATGCAAGATTCCGCAAGTATATCACTTTAAAATCAACTGTGTTATGAGCATAAGCTTAACAAATCCAAAGTTGGTTCTATTTTAATACAATTTATCAACTAAAAACCGACTCCAATGTCTCGAAGGTTTCCACGTCAACCTCGATACATACTTTTGTCCTGGTTTCTACTTTTATTGTAACTCTTACATTTATTACAATATGTAAAAGCAAAGCAACGCCACCAAACGCTTATCTTGAATGGCATATCGTTTTAGATCCTGAATCCCCAATTCAAAAATCCCGAACGGAGGATCCCGAATCCAGGATAGAAAAATCCCAATCCCATCATTCTTTTATGTGTTTGATACCTATTTGGGCACCTCTTCTTGCTTGTAGTTCCCAACTACCCGATGCCTCATATCTCAAGTTTTCTCATATTCCATCCCCTCTTTCACCAAGAAGAAACCTTTGATTCTTCCTCAATTGTACATACATAAACCCATTCAAGCTAACAAAGATGCCTCATTTATATCTACAAATTTCTTCTCATCTTTCAAACAACCACTAAAAAGCAAAGAAACACTATATTTACCCCTAGCTGAAAAACCGTTTTTGTTTACCGAAAATTTTCTAATTTTCGGCAAGATATGGGTCCTGGAGTCGTTCGTTATTCGTTGTTTTTTGTACTCTCCCTTCTTCTCAGTCCAGGTGACTTTTATTTGTTATTTTTGTTCATTCTATATTCGAACGTTTTGTGTAAGATATCTGCTATGATTTTCTTACTCTTAAGACCCCTGATTGGTGTGTCGTGTTGAAAGATAAAGTTTAAACATTAGGGTTGATGGCAACTACAATCGTGACACAATACATTTGCAATTGTGTTTGGACTCGGATTTTTAGTCCCTTGTTGGAAACATTCACGTGAGCATGTTATATATTTTGTACACGTTCATTATTCAGAACTCATAATTTCACGAATAAAAATATGTTATCCTTAAATCTCGTGTCCCTTTCATGCCAATCAATCACGTGAGTCATATCATCATTTTATTGAGAAGAGATAATAAAAAGATGAATTAAACTGATGTGTCATCAAGTAATTGGTGTAACAGATCGGGGAATTTAGGGATAACAGATTTTTATTAATGGATAGATACTAATCCGAAGTAGGGCTGTAAACGAACCGAACGTTCAGCGAACCGTTCGTGAATCGTTCGGCGGGAAGTTCGTTTATGTTCATTTATTTAATAAATGAACGAACATGAACAATTTTTTTCGTTCGTTTAGTTAAACGAAGAAACATGAATAAGAGTCTCGTTCTTCACTTATGTTCGTCAACGTTTGTTCATTTACCGTTCGTTTATATTTGTACGTTTATGTTCGTTTATATATCAAATTTAATATATAATCTTTTATTTATTTACTTTGAATTTAAATAATATTTATTTATGTTTGCTTAGTCCGTTCGTTTATGTTCGTTTAGCCCGTTCATTTATGTTCGTTCGTTTACGTTCGTTTAGCATGTTAACGAACGAATATAAACGAACACGAACACGCATGATTTCTAATCGAACGAACACGAACACTAAGATTTTTGTTCGTTTACCGTTCATGTTCGATCGTTTGTTGGGTTAAGTTAAACGAACGAACATGAACAAGCTTCTATAGGCATATGTGAACTAAAATTACACATTTGAGCTTTATCATCCATCGGCAACTATTGACGCTATTATTTTTGTTCATAAGATCACTAAGAATTTGTAACTATTGAAGGATGACATTTGGACAAATGGTTATTACTATGCAGAAGCAAAGAATAATAATGATTTTATGGTTTTTCTTCAGATTCAAACTTTGCTGAGAAACCTCCAAAGGAAGCAATCTTGCCTAACAAAATGCTATACGACCATATATACTCATCTCCTTCAACTTTCACCACCCAGCTAGATGACATTCCGATCGTTCAACCCACAACTCCCACCGGAACACCAAACACATATTCACCAACCCCATTTCCGCCAACCACCACCACTCCAACTGGAGACCCCACTAGTCTACCACCACCAGCCGGCTTTCAACCAAACAACCCCACTCCATCGAGCCCAACCGGCCCATCTGTTCCCATGGGTCCATCCTTTCCAACAGGTCCGACGGGCCCGTCAGGTCCGAGCCCGTCGGGTCCGAGCCCGACTGGTCCTTCAGGTCCACCATCATCGGGTGGATCTTGGTGTGTTGCAAGTTCGTCGGCTTCTGAAACGGCTCTACAGGTAGGACTTGATTATGCTTGTGGCTATGGAGGAGCGGATTGTTCGGAGATTCAACCAGGTGCAACTTGTTACAACCCAAACACGGTTAGGGACCATGCTTCATATGCTTTTAATGCATATTATCAAAAAAACCCTGCTCCAACTAGCTGCTCTTTTGGAGGAGTAGCACAGGTTACCAGCACAGATCCAAGTAAGTGCTGCTAAATCATGGAGTCAAACTCGGATGATATTTATATACAGCAAAACTCACTAAAAGTTTAATGAGGCTTGAACCCTTGACCTTTAAGGAGGTGGGGATCTACCGCTAACCCGGATACCATTGGGCCATTTGACCCCTTGGCAACTTGGTTTTCTTGGTACAATATATACCCACTAGGCTAAAGCCGCAGGGGGAAAATGACCTTGACCTTCCGGTCATTAAGCTGTACGCGAACTAGACTAAATGGGCAAAAGTGAAGTAGGCGGGTGAAAGAATTGTTAAAGGTTTTAGAGTTTTAATTTGACATGGGTAATTTAGTAAATTACTAATCTTGTCTCCTTCCTGATTTTGTTCGGCCAGTTTCGGTGAGACAGAAAAAACACATTTTTGCCCCACTCAGGTCTTGTTTAGTCCAAGTTTAATGTCGCACCCCACATGGGACAACAAGCTTTTTTGTACAGTTTTGTCTCGCATACTAAACGCACCTAAAAGAACAGGATGACAAGATTAAGGAGGATTATATCAATGGGTAGTCCAATAATCTTGAAATTCCAACGATCCTGTAAAACTTGTTGCAGGTTCTGGAAGCTGCCGCTATTCGGCAGCCAAATCAACAGGGATGACACCACCAACGCCACCTATGCCATCATCACCCACCACCCCCACGTAAGCAAAACCGTCGGACCTTTTTGCCACGTGACCACTAAGGGCTTTATTCATGCAAACTAACCGATAAATTTGTTGCTATTTGCAGAATAAGTTCACCGATCAATCCATATCCTACCACACCTAGTGTACCGGGAGGGTATTCCGACCAACCAGGCTACACGTCATCAGAACCAACAGGAGAGCCAAGCTCAGCAGACTCCATGGCTGCCAACTTACTGCTGCCATTAACGATAACCAGTCTGCTCCTGTTTCTAAAGAAAGAAAACTGAAGTTCAACGATCGCCATTAAAATGAGACGGGAATTCACTTGGTCGCCTGTTTCACTTTACAGAGGAATTCGCCAAATGTCAACTTGAAGCAAGCCCTATTCTTAGACTAAGATCATTGCCATACTTCATGTTTATGTATGGCTTTTAGTTCTAGTAGGAAAACACAGAAAATGAAAAAATAGCAAGTAATTTATTGGGTTCTCTACAGTTACTTCTTGCAATTACTAGCAGAATAAAATTCGTAGACGAGCTCGTATTTCGGTTTAGGATTGTTTAGAGATATACATGTAGAATAATAGCATTTTATTGAACAAATGATTAACAGATATACTATGCAATGATGTAGCTTTAACAACATAGACACAAAGTTGGCATAAAACGAGCAACTGAAGAAATCTTCAAAGTGCACGCGAACTTGACTTTTTGCCTCGTAAAAAGTCTTTCTCATTCCTTTTGCTAAAATTGCAACGGTGTCTTTTATGGGATTCCCCATGTTGATGGTAGTTTTCCCTTATTTGTCAAAATGTCAAGCAACTTGCTTATTTGGCCATTTTCATTGTTGCAAATTATAGAGGGGAATGATTTTTGGTGCATTTCAAACAGATGCCGAGTCAAAGGCTCCAGTTTTTATACGACGTATGGAGAATTAATTAGTTGTGGAAGAAGGGTTTACGCTACCCTCCAGAGCACATCTACCATATCAGTCCCACTACTATATGGGGGAAGTAAATCGCGGTGTCCTAGGGCAGGGTGGGCGGGGATTCATTCATTCATTCATTCATCAGGGATGAGAATTAGTTATAAGTCTGCCGGGTAAGTTTAGTACGCAGGACAGGATGGGACAAGACAATACAAAAACTTCATGTCCCACATTTGGCACGACAATCAGACCGGAGTGGGACAAAAATAAATTTTTTCTGTCCTACCAAAATAGCTGGAACAAAAATCACAGAGATTGGACAAGATAGGAAATTACTAAACTACCCATGTCAAATAAGAACCTGAAACCTTCCAGAATTCTTCCACCAGCCCACCTCACTCTTGCCCCTTCCGGTCATTTCCGGTCTTGTCCCTTCGGCGTACCAAATGCACCCTTCTAAGTGTGCCAGCGTCGTGGAAACCATGCTAGGATATTCCGCGGGCACGATGAAACAAGTAGTTGCTGTAGTCCTACTAAGGGACCATTCCAGTCCTACATGGGCACCACCCCAAAAATCACAAAAACCAAACGCGCCTAGTATAGCACACCCAGAGGTGGTGTTTGGGGGTGGGATGTACGTAGAGTTGTCCTCTACCCTAACAAGCGTAGAGCGGTTGTTTCCTTGAAGGGCCCTGGCTTGTGAAAAGTGAGGAAAAAAACTTGCCCAAAAAGTATGAGGAATGTGAAAGAAGGAAAGAATTTGAAAGTGGTGAACTTGAAACCAGAAAGGAACATGAGCCAAATTTCTTAAAAGTAGTAACTATATCAAATTTTTTAACATTTCTGTATGAATAACTAGTGACACTATCAGAGACACGCCATCATCAACAAGCTAGTCGGAGTCTAAAATTGAAGCTTGAAGTTGAATAGACACTATCGCATAGACCCCAGGGATGATTCTTCGTGAATATATATTTATTAATAAGAGAAAATATTCTTACATCTATGCAAAAAAGCATGTTGAAATACATCTATTGTGTCCTGAAGAGACGTATTCTCACAAATTTAAACAGCAAAAGTAAGATTTACTTTATGGATTCACCATTGTAAATTTTGTTGATATCTAATGTGGTTTTGGGGCTCGAAACAGTTTACAGATGGTCACAGGCAATTGTTCAGATTAAGAGCAAGCATGGCACAGCAACAGTAAAAAGTATGGCTAAGGTGGCAATGAATGAACCTTGGTCAAATGCCCTCCTTAAGTTGCCTACTCGTGTGAAATGCTGGAAAGCCAGAAATGCCGCAATAACCAAAGAAAGAACAACCCCTTCTTGTCTTCCTCTGTGACAACCAACACCTCACATTAGAAAATTACTAACAGATGAAAGGATAAAGAAAAAGGTTTAGTGATATAGTCCCATTACCTTAAGTTCAAGACTTGGTAAGGTGACACGATTATCATTAGCAATGCTATAAATGGCAACTCCAATTCACCTACAGGAAGAGGCAAGACAAAATATTAAACAGGATAAACTCGTATATGGTCGCTTAGTTAGATCTGCTCAAATCGTTGGGGCCTGCTTTGGATAGCCTAGATGTCCTAAGTTTGAATTACTCCCACTCCTAAAATGAGGGTCCACATTTCTATATAAGTGTCCACTTTAAATATTAGATAGTTATAATTTATTAAATTTCTAATTCTACCCTTAACTATGATGCACGAATATTCAAAAGTTGATGAGATAGAGAGAGAGAAGGTTTTCCTCTATCATTAAGGATAAAAATGTCATTCAATTGATTAAATGTAACATTTCTTAAACTTTGTGCTTTTTATAGTGGACATTCATTTTGGGATGGAGGGAGTACATATTTACGCAACATCCAGGTTTATTTTGGGTGTGTCAACGGGCAAGCAGCAAATGCTTAACCAGTGTGGTTTCCTGTGTTTTCTAAAAAGATGAAAACAAAAAGCAAATGGCTATATGGTCAAATGTTCAGGCAATTGTAACTAAATACTCTAAAGGGTATAAAGCTTATAGATTTTTCTAGAAATGGGTGATCCCAATTATCGCCCAGACTAATCCCATGGCAAGTCATTACTGTAGGCTTCTCCCACAGCCCTGAGATAAATCTCCCAGTGGCCACAAGCGCATATGTAGATGGCAGGGTTCGAACCCAGGTTGATTTTTATCATCCCCTTGTCTTTACCCACCACGCTACCACCCTAGTGGTTGGCTTACAGATTTGATGTGTACTATATATTAAAACTGTGCGCCTTTGGTCTACATCCGGGAAAACCAATTTGTAAAGCGACTTACCAGGTATATAGAAGAAAAGGCGAACTAAAAGTGCCAAAAATGCTGTCCAGATTCCATATTCACCCCTGAAAATTAATTTGTAAAAGCAATTGCAAAACCAATAAGAAGGTTATTAAACTAAAACAACAAATATGGGAATTATTTCCTCCATCCCACGAAAATTGCAACGTTTAACTAGGCACATAGTTGTATAAAATTGTTTGACTATTAATCCAATGACTTAAATGCACTCCAAAAATCATGAAAGAAGTAAGCCTCGGTAGACCAAAATCAAAAATATCAATTACTAATTATCATGATGGAGGAATTGGATATTTAAACATTGAAATTGTCAGGCAAACCCTCCATTGGCCCTAAAGGGACTTGAACCAGTGCCTTTGGGAAAACCCAAGGTCTTACCAGTTGAGCCATCCGACAGGGCTAACATGTTGCAATTTTCTTGGGACATCAATGGAAAGTTTTGCAATTTCGGTAAGATGGAAAAAATAAAATAATGGTGGCTTGGATATTCAAAAACCACAACGGCTTACATAAACAAATAGCAATGGGGGCTTGGATATACATAACCAAAACAGGATATGTTGCTTTGTCATTGGACTTCCCAGAATAGAAAGTGTAGCAATTTTCATGGGACATCCCAAAAAAGGGAACTGTTGCAATTCAGAGGAGTTGAACAATTGTGGGTTATATATTTAAAATACCAAAAGGGAAATACTATTAACTTTCATGGGAATCCCAAAATGGAAAGTGTTTCATCTTCGTGAACAACGGAAGTAAGACAATGGTGACTTGTATATTCAGATAACGAGAGGTTGATTAAAAGAAATATATAATAATAAGAGGGGAGATAGAATGTTAAACGGAGAAACAAGCACAATGAAATATTTTATGAGCTTACTTGATCCACGACGCAAGAGTTGCAGGTGCTTGTAGAGCAAACAAAGGAACAAGAAATGATTTTTGAATTGCGGTGCCTTTTGCAAACATCAAAACCCTGTATAGAAAATGAGGAATTCTTATTGGTATGCTTTACTTAATCAACCACTTAACTCAGGAAGAATAAAGTTAAGTAGCTTAAGTTTTATCCTTGGGTTAACGTGTCATTCTGCTAACATCCTCATGTGTTCATCTCCAGTATGCACAAAGACTTTATGAGAAATTAATTATATATTCTATTATATTTAAGATTTGTAACATGTGTATTGTATTTAAGTTAACAATACACGAAACTATTATGTAACTGTCAGATTTAAGTTGAAGAAGAAACAGAAGTTGTGTTGATACAAATCATTATATTACAGAGAAAAGAATACAAAAATGAATAAATCCTATCAACTAACTTAACTAATGTTGTACTAAAAAAATATTCACGTTTTGACCCTTCATATTTTATCATTTTCCTCTTTTTGTCTGCAAACACTCAACTTGTGTAATATCGGAAATTACTTTTCTTGCCGAGATTTTTATAAAGAAGTTTGCCAGCTGATACAAGTGCAATTTTGAGTTGTTCTCTGTTTCTTATCATGCAGAAAGAGAACATCCATTTCAATGTGCTTTGGTCTGAGTATAATACCCGGGTTGTTTGCAATTGCAATAGCTGGTAAGCTATCATAGTTCAGTATTACTGGAGATGGAATATTGACAGTAAAATCACTAAGAAGATCGTGCAACCAACTTAGTTCACATTTTGCTCTGCCATGGCTCTATATTTAGCCTCTGATGATAACTATACCCCACAGTCTGGAGCAAGTGTAAACTGTAAATCATTATCTACCAAATGTTTTACAGAATATTTCTTAATACAAATAAATTTTTTACATGAGACGATATTAACATAGTATTTTTCGTTACTTTTTATTAAAATTCAACTATATATTTTTTATATAAATGATTATTTTGTTACTTTTCTAAATAATACATGAAAAAATTATCATAAAAGAATTTTGTTATTCAATTTTGTGAGAGGATGAGAGCATTGAAGAGCAGTAGGTTATAATTCGTCTCTTGACTTCAATAAGAAACACATTGACTGCTTCCTTAAGAGGTTGGTCTGAAATGGATTTCTAATACGAGGACAATTTTTTATGGTAAACAACTCACCTCTTAGTGAGGGAAGGCTGTCTCTTACCTGGTAAGAGGTGGTAAGAGATTAGTAAATGGGTGCTAACTTATGTTTGAGATCCCCAACTTCATATAACCAAAAAAATTGATGTCCCATGGAAGTGCCAAAAATAGACTGAACCTAACCGTTTGCATGAATTGTTTGTCAAATACATCAAAATAATGTCTAATTTTTTCAAGGGAAGGAGTTACATATTTCTGCAATCACTAATCCATTTCAATCAGGTAGTTTTCTATTAAAGATATACACTTAAAGTTCAAAATCTATATGAACATGAAATCTAAGTTTTTTAGAAAATCAAATCATGTTTATTATACTTTAGAAAAAGCACTACAAATGTAAATCAAAGCAATTTGGCAAGCGAAAGCATGATGTTTGACCTCAAATGTCACATGTGTGTAATCACCACTACGAATTGCTAGTAACAACAAAAGTTCACTGCGTTTGTGAGGCAAAAAAAAACAGTAATTGTAGCTTACGCAGAAGATATTGTGCAGATCCATTGAAGGTTCGTCGTGGTAATAGTAACAGGAGGAGAATAACAAACAGGACCAAATCCTTGAGTCCATTTCTGCTTCATCCCCAAATTACCTCTACTTCCAACGAAACTTCTGCAAAATGCACAAACATTAACGAAATCATAATCACTAAAAAAGCAAACACATTCTTCAATTTATCCATAAATTAATCAAATTCAGTTCAATTAACGTAACAAATATACACACATACGTGAAATACGAACAAATTATTGCAAAAGATAATGAACCTGAGAGGGTTAAAGAAGTGGAGGGAAGTAGGACGACGGAGGTGAGCGGCGCGATGAGAGTTTAGAGTTTGAACACGGTGTTTGTCACGACAGAGAGAGGTTGAGGAGGAGGAGAAAGAGTGTGTTAAAATTAGCATCTTTCTTGTTTTGGCGCTTTCCGGTGGCCGCCGGCGAGGAAAAAGACGACGCCGGTTGAGAGTCTAAAGCGGAAAGGAATCGTACAACCGAGTCAAAGCGAGTGTGAAAGCATGACGCATCGTGATATTTTCATGTGTCAAACCAGTTTTCAAAATTTTATTTAAGATTCCATAAATAAATTCTACAAACAATTTGTTTCGTGGACCATCTTTTTTAACATATGAAATTTATTAAAATATCTATTTTTTTCTAAGTTTATCAAAATAGTGATAGTTTCATAAAAACTTAACATCTGTAGGTACGGATCCAGCTAAACAATTAAAAGAAATTACACTCTATATTCTTGTTTGCAAAAAAAATTATATTTTTTATCCATGTCCGATTTTTTTTTTTTACATTTTTAACCTAGGTCCGAAAAAATGAATTACAAACCTAGGACTTATTTTAGTAAACCTTGTAAAAAATGATTAAAAAGTGAAACAAACCGGTAAAAATAGTTATTTTAATTAAAAAAAATAGTGAAAATCAAACTATTGTTATTTTATGTAAACTTTTAAAAAAATTCCACAATCAATAAAATTACTGGTGCCCATAATCTTTTATAGGTAGGATTTTCAACGGAAGGTTGTTAGAGCATTTAACATATTTTTAATTTTTTTAAATGAATAATGGAACTTCATTTAATTGCAACATATTTATTATTTTGAAGATTACAACATGATTATTTTACTAAAATATTCTTTTTTATCTAATAAAATATTATTTATATTTAAATTTTATTTTTATTTTTAAATGGGCCGTTTACCAAACATTTACCCAATAAGCGCTTATCAGTAAGGTTTAACATTATCATTTGCTTATCGGGTAAGATTTTAGTCTACCAAAACGGTATTGTATACAACAATTTACCGGTAAGCTCTTATCATGGTAAGATTCGTCGATTTTACTTACTGGGTAAGACTCTTGGTATTTGTCTTGCTCTTACTGGGTAAGATTCTTGATCCTTACCATATTCATTTGATAAGGTAATGTGACTTGGTCTTCACTTACCCAAGTAAGCGTTTGGTAAACGGCCCCAAAGTCTTATATTGGTGGAAATATACTGAATAATATATCTCTCTTATACCAGCCATTTTATGTGTGTTCTTTAAATTTGAAATTTTTTTACACAATCTATCATACTTTCTCCATTCAGGAGAATCTATAGGAGTAACAAAAATATGACCAAAATCCTAGAATTACTATTTTCTCTATTTTAAAGAATTTGTTAAAGATGTTCTTATAAGAACTACCATTTCATATATTTACAGTTCTTTTACAAGAATCTTGACTCTTATTTTGAACTTTATGTGAAATGACATTTTATTAATTTTATATTTTTTGTGAACTTTATATATAATTTTTTTAATAATTATTGATGTTGAAAAATATATAAGTACCATAAAAGGGGTTCTTATAAGAACTATTATTATGAAGTTTTATGTAAATTTTTTATCTAATGAGATGGAAATAATGTGGAAAAAAAAATATAAAAGGTTAGTTTTTATAAAAACCACCATTAAAATAGTCTATTTTTTCAATAAAACTTAGATACATTTTAGAACATTTCCAGACGTAATTTAAAAAAATATTAAGATGGTAAGTCTATTAATATAGAACACATTTTTCAACGTTAAACACACAATAAAACTACATACTTCCTATTTTGATTACAAAACACAATTTAAAGTACAAAATAAATTAATTATTAAAGAAAATTAATGTATTAGTTAATATACAAAATATGATTAAATATAGGTATTAAAATATATAAAAAGATGTTCCATGGTGTTAATAGTGGGCCGTTATGTATAAGGGTTAATTTTTAAAAGGGCATTTTAGGTTATGTATAGATTAAGGCAATGTTTGATAAATATAAATTAGTTTATAAGTTAAATATTTTTCAAGTACATGTTTAGATGGATTAGAAGAGTACTCGAGCAATGCAGCGAGATACATCTCGTTTTTATTGTTTCATTTTATTATTTGTCTTTGTCGATATAATACAGTTTTATATGGTTTTGAGAAAATAATAATGTTTTCACTTTTAAAACAAATATAAATTTTTAGATATTATAATTAAAATTTTGAAAAAATATATTTGTATTAGTGTCAAATTAACTATTTAAAAATTCTCGTTTTTGTGTAATTTCTTTATTCAAATTTTTTATTATGATTTTATTTCTGTTTTATAATGAAGCAATTTATTTTTGGCTTAATAACATAATTTTTTATAAAAATAATAATTAAATATTTTGTTAGAAATCAATAATGATCCTAATTATATTTTGATTGTTTATATTTAAAGTGAGATGTTTATCATGTATATGATTATGTTTATCTGCAGTTAGTTACACGAATTCAAAAATAAAGGTTTAATAAGTTGTACATGTGTTCAATTTATTTGTAATCTTGAATTTTAAGTAATATGCATCAATAAACAGTACTTCGTACATAAAAAATGGCTTTTAAGATTTTTTTTATCAAATATATCATAATATAGTGTAGATATAAAACAGTTTATAAGTTAGTTTATTAAAAACGTTATTTGAAGTACCATTTTGAGAGATTATTATCATTTTTCCACATTAATATTGATTATTATTAATTATAAATAAATATTAAATATTAATAAATATTATATATTAACAAATAATAAATATTAATTGATAGTGATTAATATTAATTGGTTATTAATACAATTATTTAGATTTCTCATTAACTTTATATTAATCGGTTCATTTTTCATACTTTCATAAGGTTTATAATTTTGTTCTTTTCTTATCGTAGTCATCATTGCAGTCACATCTTAAAAAAATAATTCATTTCATGATAAATTAATAGATATTTTTTTCTTGTTGTGAATTATAATCTATTTTCTTATATCAATTATTATTTTTACTTATTATTAATATGTTTAGCTATCAAAAGATAAGTATAATAATTTCAAAAAATGTTATATAAATTATATAATTTTTAAGTTATACTTATTTTGTTTCATATATAATAAAACTATGTTAAATGATTTTTAATAAAAATAATAATAATTTAATTATTAATTATATTTTTTGAACATATATTGATTAGCTAGGAAATGACGGTCGGCCAATTTTATTCTTATTCATATTATATGTAATGGTTCTTTAAAATAATATATTGATATAGGTTTTATCTAAAATTTGTTTTAACAAATCTAAAATTTATAATATATATATATATGTGTGTATATATATATATATATATATATATATATTATATTATTAGAGATTTAGTTTGATTTATTATGAGATATTGTAATTGACTAATTTTTCAAAATGTATTTTTTTTTTTTTGTCAATTTATATACTTATAAGCTAGTTTTTGTCAAACATGAGTTGTTAATCAATTAACTTATTAGCTACCAGTTAGTTTATCAGCTAGCTTGCCAAACATAGCCTAATTATGGATAAATGTAATTGTAAGATATCAACTTGATAAACGCAATGGTCGCTAGTGGTAGATCCAAAAACTTTTATTGTTGGGGGCACATTTTAAGGATATCAAAAAAATTTGAAAACGAATAATTCTTTCGAATCAATACGATTTTGGGTTATTCGGTTTTCGGCTTAAAAGGTCTACTTTAATGGAATAAAAATAACTTATTCATTAGTATTATAGCAAACAAAACAAGAGAAATAAAATGAATTTTAACGGGTTGACACTTAGAAGTTAGAGGAATTAGAGTTTAATTGATGAAGTAATGACTGCATAAGTAAGAATTCTAAATGAGATGACAATAATTAGAATTGAGTCTAACTTTTATTTGTTCCGAGCCTATTAATAGTTTTAGGTTAACAACAATAAAAATATAAATAAACCTACTCCTTGGGTTTGTTGGGGGACTGTGCCTCCTACCCCTTTGTTGTGAATCCGTCAATGATGGTCACAATTATTGTGGAAGCCTAAAATTGAACTCAGGATTGATGTGATATTTCATCATGTCTTCTCGGACCTTATACGGCACAACCTTTATGGCTTATGGCTGCTAATGTTGGAGCACGTCAAGTGACCATATTCGTCTTTTACAGGTCTACCAAAGATGCTCCTAAGACCATCTCCGCCCTACATATTCCAAAAACCATTAAAGCATGGTTCATTTTCATTAAAATATAAAACTCTTCTAACCACACACTGAAACGTAAAATTCTTCTAACCATCACACACATCTTTTTGGTAGATGTAAGCCATGAATACTAAACCTCCAAATATAGAGGCCTCTTCATTTTAAACAAAAGAAAATCGTGTTTTAACAATGGATTGGAGCAAACATGACATTTGTTTTTGTGTTTTAATAGTGGATTGAAGATGCCTTAAACCTTATTTTTTTAAGGGATTTACTAGGATGGTTTAATTTTATGGGCAAAATGCATAAAATAGCAACCTACTTTCATAAATTTCTTTATTATAGCATTGTACTTCTAGTTTTTCTTATTACAACAATGTACTTTCAAACTATTTTTTATTAGAATATTGTACTTTGAAAAATTTACCCATTGTAGCATTGGGTAACCTTTTGATTTAAATTTACCCATTATATCGGGTTTTCATGCCAACTCATTGTCCACGTAGGTTGTTCACATGTATTATAGTGATGTGATTTTCTTATTACAACATTGTACTTTCAAAACTATTTTATTATAACATCTATTAGTTATTATTAAACAATGTACTTTTAATTTTAATATTTAGATATTTTTACATGTTATTTAATAAATATATTAAATGAATTAAAAAATTTCTAAATTATTCATTAATATACCAATATTAATAAAACTAGTAGAAGACAACTTATCTCGCTAATATTTTTTTAAAAATATGTGTTTTTTGAAAAAAAAAAATAATTGTTCCTTTTTTACCAAAAAAAAAATATTATCTTTTAAAAAATATATTATATTTGTTCAAAAACTTTTACTTGACGTATAAATATATTAAATTAATTAGATTTTTTTGAATTA